CGTGGGGGTTATGTTTTGTGAGTGGACGTGTTTTTCCTCAAATGAACAGCCTCAGTTTTGATTTTTTTTTATCCTGTCTTCTGTCCTGCTTTGCCTAATTATCTTTGGAAAGAGTTGAAGACTGCTTAAGGCTAAATTTACACGTTAACTTGGAACTTATCTCATGGATTATTTCCTTTTGAAGGTGGTCATGGGTTTAGGTTACATTTATTACAAGTTCTCAATATTTGCACTTCAGGGCTAGTGTCTGTAGTTTAGAACACCTCCTTAAACACTTGGGCTGAGAAGAATCTCGCCTCGATCGACTTGGCTTTATTTCTGGTGCTTCTGGTAATAATTGAAAATGAGCTCTATTCTGCAAGTTCCGTCCTTTCCTGTGTGTCGTTTCCCCTCCTCCCAGTATTGTGTGGTAGGCCATAGCCAATAGCTACGCTTTGGTTTAAGTTGCATGGGAGTGGTTTAAGCACAGTCAAATTTGGGGTAGCAGAATGCATTTCTGAATGTTTGGTGTGGAATGCCTGTGAAGTTGATTGTTGAGGTTTGAGAGATGTTCGATAAAACAGGTGATTTTTGAGAAAAATCAGGTACTCCAGTGTCATTAGTGAGCATTTTTGATCAGAACTGACAAAAACTTAGCATTGTTTTAAGGAAAAAACCCAGGATTCTGCTGCTGAGTTTTAGATTTCCTTTAATATCTGACAATAAAGAATGCCTTCTGGTGTGTTCAGGCCATGGGACTGAAGCTAAGCATTGGACTGATTAAGAAAGCTCTAAGAGCTCACCATGCTAATTAGGCTATCTCATTACAAGCAAATAATAGATTATTGCAGATCAGTGTTGGAGTCATTTTGCACAGAATCCCATTTTTGCCTGGTGGAAGATGACTATTTCCTTGGAAGCACGAAGTCTGCGTCTGTCATCGCACTCGTGCAGGCGGAGTAGGGGCCAAGCGAGGCCTTCTGAACGGCAGAGTGTCCCAAAACATAACGTAACCGCAAGTCATTGAGAGACCAGCCGAGCTGTGCTTCCGGCGTTCCGACAGCCTGTCAGTCAGTCCTCTCTGGCCGCAGTAGGGACCTTCCTTAGGTCACTTCTTGTTGTTCTTGTCAGTGAGTTTTGAGTTTCCCCGTGCTGGAATGGCTTAGTCGACAGTTGATCCACGGTGCATTTGCTATTAAATGTAGGCATAAATAGCGAATTCAGTGCCTTAGTACTAAGTTAAACTGAGCTGACTGAGTCGGTTTATAAAATGTAGGGATTTGGTAGATGCAATTCTTGAACTGCATATATAGTAAAAGTCCGCAAACCATCTTTTTTTCTAGTTTCAGTTTTGGCACTAGATTTTATCCTGGAGTTTTTAAATATTCTTCATCCTGTTCTTTTTCTATTAAGGTTAATGTTGAAGAAGGAAAATGCGGAAGTCGCCATTTGACAAGTTTTATAAATGAGAATTATTTGAAGCTCAGGAATAAGTGAAGCTGAAATTTGAAAAAAAAGAAAGTGAATGCATGCTAATTATCAGACCAGAAGTCCCACTTGTAGAATATTGAGCAATTTGTGTGAAGTGGGGAAGATGAAAGAAGTCAGAATTTGAAACGGAAGAATGAAGAAAAGGAATAAAAATGAAGTTAAGATAAGAAGTAATCTGGAATCTGAAAGCACTACGCTAAGTAATTACTAGTCTGTTTATGTGTCCCTGTATATTTTGCTAAACATGCATGCATTATCTGTTTAATAGCAAAAGTATATGCAGGGTAAAGAAGTGTCTACCAGGGAAAAAAAAAACCTTCGTAAAAATCTAGGCAGTTCTAATGCCAACTGCCCGGACACATAGATATGAATTTTTACCATTTATTTCACTGGAGCTTGTTTACGGACCGTAGGTAAACAAGAACTTGTGTACAAATTAGGCTTTCGATATCTGCGTGCAGGAATCCCGTTCTGCTTCCAGAAGCGGAAGTGCTCATGGGTCTGGCAAGTCGGGGAGGCACACCCCTGCAAGATCTCGATCTAAGGAGGATTCCAGGCGTTCCAGGTCAAAATCTAGATCCAGGTCTGAATCCAGGTGAGTTTACTTCTTTTAACTCTTCCTCCCCTTCGCAAGTCGGATGATGATGTCAGAGGTGAAGTCCAATGTGGCCCAGTTCTGTTTCCGAGGAAAACTGGTGATGTGTGGACATGGAATACAAAGGGGCGTGTGTGGTTTCTGGGTTTGAAAAGCTAAACTATTAAATTAGACCTTCTTTTGCAGCTTTTTCTAAGGGTCAGCCAGCTGCATAGGCTTGTGCCTCTGCTTTGGAGGTGGCCTGCCCTGTTAGTCTTTGACTAACGGCTGGTATCTGAGCGTGAGGCATTAGGATCTCAAAATCTGCATTAAAAGAAATACATGGGATTTTCCATTTCAGTTCCCATTAATGCATTACGTTTTCTCACTGGAAGCAGTGGTGTTTCTGGAGTAGTTAACGGTACAGTCCCTGAAAAAGAACCAGTAGAGGGAAATAGGAATTTCAACAGACATCTGCCTGACCTTTTAAATATCTGTATTAACTTTAAAGCTTTCCAGCCTGTTAATTTTCAAGCTTAGGCAGCTTTCCAAGCTCTCCAAAAGGCCATGGAGAGAGTAGCTTGCTTGTTGTGTTTGTTACGTGGTAACGCAGATGGACACTACGAAATGCCTTTTGTGCTGCGTTACCTGTCGTGACGCTCGCCTGGTAAACAAGCTGTGGGCAGTGACAGAATTCCTCTTCCAACTCTTTACGGATCTAACAGAGAGCCACGGTACGCTGATAGTATAAAAACAAGGCTGTGAAGGTCACTGCTGGCCACTCTGCATTGGCTCTCTCACCTGTGTCATGTAGGAGGTGCATACTTAATAAAGAACAGAGAGGCAACAAAACCTGTAAAGGGGTGATGACGTCATTAAGAGTCTAGGTAATTGAGTGCTGACCGCAGAAATGAATGTGATGGTTCCTTTAGTCAGGTTAAAAAACGTGGGTTTTGACACTGGGCTGTCCAGTGGAGTGGTTCACAACACAGCACTCGTGTGTATAAGCCATGGATTAGGTTTGCCAAAGCCTGGGGGTCAGGCTGCAGGAAGGATGACAGCCCTGTAATACTATGTGTTATTAGCAATTGCCCGTGGTGGAAAACGCCATCAAATACTGCTTTTGGGTCTCCTTGCGAGATCAAAGCGATGGGTTTGCAAGGCTTTTGTGAGGAGGGAAATGCTTGGGGAATTCTGACAGCAGAGGAATGGGCATGTTTATTCTGTGTACTTCAGGCACAGTCACAAGTGTCAAATCATGCACTTGGCAGTCCTGTAGTGCAAGATAAATAATGTCTAACTAAATGAATAAATACGTGGTAGAGCAACACTGCTTTAGAGAGTACGAAATGGGAGCGACCTCTGGAATCGCTAGTGGTGAGAGATTCACACACAGCTCAGCAGGGTGCAGTCTAAAATCCTGCTCACAGCAGAGTCTGCTCTGGCCTCACACCGTGTTCTCAGGGCTTGATCTGGTTGGATTTTGAAAACCTCAGAGGATAGAGACAGCACAACACCTTTGGGGAGCCTTTTAATTTTAAAATAAATAAAGCAAGTTGGGAGCCAACCCAGTATGTCCTTCTGCACCTTGATCCATAACCCCTGGGGATTCCACATTTAAGCACCGTGTTTCTCACTTGCAGAACCACCGTAATGCTGTGTAAGAATGCAGCCACAAATTGTGTAAAACGCTGGAAGAAGCAAATACAAGATGTAGAATTTACAAGAAACCTGGCAAATCATTTGCTTTTACAAGAAATCACCCTTTAAATAATACCCTGGCAACTGACTTTACTTTCTGATGAGCCGAATTAGAAGCTTGTGACTGACACGGCTTCCTGAGCATTTAACAGCTGTCTTGAAAATGCCAATGTCTGGAAATACTGGAAGTGTACTGTAGAGTTAGTGTGTTCATTAACAGCTTTGGGCAGAATTGTGTCAAGGCACGTGTTTAGAACAACGTACTTCAGTCTCCTTTCAGTGCCGTCACAGTTTGGATGGGATCACGAGCAGGTAATCTAACTCTGGCTCTCACCAGAGAAATAACCTTGTGAGAACTCTCCTGTTTCTTGCCAGTTTCTGTTGCAAATGTATTTTTGAATTACCAGCTTCATAAATTAAACTTTGATTTGGGAACAAATCCGTGTCCTGGTGTATTTATCAGTTGGGGTGTGGAGATGCTCGATTTAAAAATCACCTTTTATTGAAGTTTGCAGCAGCAGCGTAGCAAGTCTGTTCTCTTTGGCTGACTGGGAAGTCTGAACAATTCTTAACAAAAAAATGGGATTTTCAGCCATGGTGGCTTTACAGCAAAGGAGAACAATGGCAGTATGACATTTAAGGCGGCAGTATAAGCAGTGCCTGTTTAAAGTAAGCCTTGTTCTCCACAGAGAGGATTGCCTGGTTTAGAAGTGTGCAGCTCTTGTTCAGTGGAACAGGTGCAGTCTGTTACCTGAAACGTCAGTTCCGTTGGCCTTTGTTTTTTACCTGTCAGCAGTTGAAACGTGGACTGCATGTGTGTGCTGAACCTGGTTTGGGTTTTTTTTGAATTATTTCTGTCTTCACTGTCCTTCCTGCCTCTGGGAAGTTCACTTTTTTTTTTTAACTTTCTGTTGCCAAAAATAATTTATTCTTTCTAAATATGTAGTTAGAAGTGTTGTAATTTCTCCTGGACATGTATCTGTGTTTTAAGTTGAGGGAGACAGAACATAGCTGGCTCACTTCTGAAGGGGCTGAAGGCATTTTTTAAGAAGGCCTGCAATGTATTGTGCAGTTTGGCTGTCTGGGGACAGCTGGTGCGGAATCCTGACTGGGGAAGAAGCTGTTAAATGCTCAGGAGTCAGAAGGGATCGGGTGAAGAGCTTCATTCATGCCAGTGTGCAGTGGTTGTGTTACGGTCAAACGCAGCTGTGCAAGGGTAGTAGTTCATGGTCTCGGTCAGTACTCGCTACCTTGGCTTCCACAAACTGGAGGAAAGACATTTAAGACACAAGAGTCTGAAGATTACCAGTTTATGACTAAGAGCTTTTGAATATTAAAATGTTTATGGCACGTCTTTGCCTTGCAGCGATTTTCTGCGTGGCACGCAGATTGTTTGGCGCCCGCCATCAGGCTAAGCTCAGGCGTAACGTTCCTGTTTAAGTGCCTGCCCAGCTTTTTGACTAAGGTGGTCTGTTGGGAGGGCCAAGGGTTTAGTAGAAGGAATTGAGTTGCAGGGCCTCATCTCCACGGACCTAGTGCTGTCAGAAAACATTTCTGGAGCTGTTCTGAGCAGGCCTAGGCTTGAAGTTAGAGAGCAGTTACACCTAAATACACTTGAAATGTGAACATGCAAATGTTCGTGAACAGCTAAAGAACTGTTGGAGCAGCAGAGGGTAAATAAGACCACTACAGCTTAATTTCTTCAGTTGTGTTCAACTCTGTTTCAGGGGCATTTGCCAGACTTGTGCTCGTAGTCACGCCCCATGTAAAACTCGTATTTGACTTCTCGGTGTCACTGAAAGCAGTGCTGTTCTGACTGCTGGAGTAAGGAGAAGTGTGCACCTCCGCAGTCACGAGTGCTTTTAAGTCACGTTTACTCCTGTGCCCTCTTTCTGGCAAGTCTAAAAGCCACCCCAGCTATTTTTACTTGATTGCCTCTGTGAATATTCTGACCCTGTACCGTGTCAAACCAAGATAGTGTGGTTAGAGAAAGTTAAAAGCTGTTGGGGAACCAAAAGCACACGAAAATGGAAGTTGAGGTTCCTGTTCTGCAGTAGAAAAGCTCGGAGGGCATCTGCAGTAATGTAATTGTAAAGGTTTAGCACACAGTCCTTGAGCAGTGGCTAAATTCATTATGGCTGAATCATGTGGTACTGCAGGTTTTCAGAAAGTGGTTATTTGGGCTTGTTTGTGACTGACCTATTTTTGGAGGGTTAAAAAAGCCAAACAAACCCAACACTGTATCTTTTTCTTTTTCCCCTCAGATCTAGATCAAGGAGGAGCTCCCGTAGACACTACACAAGATCACGCTCTCGTTCCCGCTCTCACAGGAGATCCAGAAGTAGGTCTTACAGTCGGGATTATCGGCGACGACACAGTCACAGCCATTCACCCATGTCTACTCGCAGACGCCATATTGGGAACAGGGTACGTGCTGACTCCGCACGGTCCTGAATACATCCTGCCTCCACTGGGGCTTTCCAGAAAGACATGCTCCTTCCTGCTCACGTCTATTGGAAAGATACTGTTGAGGTTAACTGTCATTTGGCTTTTGATAAGCCATGGATCTCCATAAGTTTGTTACGATTGTGGGGTTGGGAAGTCTTGTTTTCTGTCTGATTTTCTTAAAAGGTGCCCTTAGAAGAGCTACCGGTGTGGGCTGCTGTTGCTATACCCACCGCAACACATGAGCAGTGTAGGACAGGGGTAGAACTAGGAGGGAGAAACATTAGTGCTTGATTAGAAAGCCTGGAAAACTAAACCGTTGCTTTAAAGACCATTTTGACAGTATCTTTATTAAATGAGCGTGCAAACCAGCTTTCTTGTAGCTGCTTTACAGGCTCAGGTGGCTGAGCACAGTGTGGTTCATGCTAAAGTGTGTGGGGTGATAACTAACACAAAGATGTGATCCAGGTCTCTGGGTGTGTGTGTCTATCTCTCCATGTTCCACAGTTGTCCAGTAGCCCAGATACGGTAGGTTTAGATACAGTACCTATTTTGTGCTGTTAGTTTGTACAGAACCCTGAGAAATGCGAAGTATTTCTGTGGAAGGAGGTGTGTGTGCTTGTAGGTTTGTGTAATAGTGTCTGTGAGCAAGTTTAACCCACCTTCAATCTCAGCAGTACCTTCTTGTGGCTAGAAGCTCTCAAACAACTTGTGAAACACCTTGTACTGCAAATATAAGCCATTTTATTCTAATATCTAATCTTTCTTTTAGGCAAATCCTGACCCAAACTGTTGTCTTGGCGTGTTTGGATTGAGTCTGTACACCACAGAAAGAGATCTGAGGGAAGTTTTCTCCAAGTATGGTCCAATTGCTGATGTTTCCATCGTGTATGATCAGCAGTCTCGGCGTTCAAGAGGATTTGCGTTTGTGTACTTCGAAAACGTCGAGGATGCTAAGGAAGTAGGTTGGGGTACAGAACGTATGGCATGTCTGCTGCTGTGTTCTCAGTTTCTCTATTGGGATATAACCTGGGGAAACTCGGGGCCTAAAAATTCTTGGCGGTGATATTTATTATGAGGTGCCAGAGTTCAGAACGAATCTACTGTGTCCCAGAGGGGAGAGTAGAGGGGTGTGAATAGTGGTCCCTGTGCTGGCTGAGCTGTTGTGTAACTCACAAAAGCCAACTTCGGGCTAGCCCTGGTGCAAACTACACCCAAAAGGAACAGAAACATAGGCTCTGTTTTAGTGATGAGAGGGGAGTTCCTTCCTAACTTCACATGTGATACTGCAGTTAATAACAGCCATGGCCATTTTGGAGTTCTCTGTAGGAGCACTGACATGCGTTCTGCTGATTCCTGGTGCTTCAGCCCCAAAGTGAAGTGTGGAGGGAGGATCCTTCCTGAAAATAGAGGCCAGTAGCTTCCTGGTCCCTGCAAATCTCCATGGGAAACCCTAAGGAACTCTGTAAAGTGAAACGGTGTCAATACCATGTAACAAATCACTGGATTTGTGCTTACAAGTGCTACGGAATGAACTGGGAATTCTGTACTCAGGCCAGCCATCGGAGAGCAGTGTGCTTATGGGCTCTAGCTAGGCTTATATTCTGCATAAATAAATCCCACCACTTAAAGTCTCTAGTGTAGTCTTTTCCAAATTTGGCATGAAGACTTCCAAGTTAGGTTGAGGCTTTGGATGTAGGTCCTGCTACTCAGCAGAAAAAAAAAACCCAATTGTTTTTTACTTAATGACTTGGATATGATTATATTCAATGTTATGATAGGTTTTGAGGTTGTATTGGAGGGAAAAAAACCCCAAAAAACCCCCAACAAATCGTGCTTAAAGAGCACGGCAGTGCTCTTGTTAACTTCTAAATGCTTCGCTTCATGTTGCATGTTGGAGTAGTTACATCTCCCTACATAAGCACGTTCAGAGGTTCCTCTTAATCACATTAGAAACAATTGTTAAATTACATCCCTTTCAGGCTTTTTATGCCATGTAAATCACACCTTAAGTGGTTACAGAAGCTTTTATCTAGTCTTAAAGGTCGGTGCTGTGTATAAGGCCTGAGTGCAGGTTGGACGTGCACCCTGACTGAGGCGTTGGGGACTTGCCGTAATGCTTGCAGCAGGAGTTAGCAACCTGCGTTGGTTATACGGTTCATGCCTCTAGCTGATCGTATTTATCGTCCTGCTTAGGCGAAGGAACGTGCCAATGGAATGGAGCTGGATGGAAGAAGGATCCGGGTAGACTTCTCCATAACAAAAAGACCTCACACACCTACCCCTGGAATCTATATGGGAAGACCCACTTAGTAAGTTACCTGTGTGCGTTTTTTTTCTAAACCAGTGCGGGATCAAATGAATTAATTCTCTTGTGTTTTGTTAAAAACTGTTCTGTAGCCCCTCTTAAGAGCCCTGATTCTGTGTGTTTTTCCTAGTTTTTTGCATTAATGCACCGTTCTGAAAGCTATTCCCTTGCTTCTGACTTGTCTGCTGTACAGGATGTGGAAGTTTCTGTACTAGAAACTAAAACAGAAAAGTCGTCGTTGATGCCCAATTAGGTTTTGGGGGGATTTTTAAGTCTCCTTAAGAGCTGTGCTAACACTGATGTGGTTATTTAGCAAAGCTTCTGAACACTGAAATGCTCAACTGATCACGGAGGCTCTTGAGAATTAAAAGCCCAAAAGCCTGTGTGTGGGCAGCCACCGGTAGTAACGCGCGTCCTTGGGTAGGAGAGGTCAGCGTGTATCGCCGTTGTCGGTGACAGTTCTGGGGTCAGCCTGGGGCAGAAAGGGTGTTCCTTAGCCTGTGCAGCCGAGGCATGAGCTATCTAAGCACTTCGCCCTACTGTCGGTGTTGTGACAACTTCTAAATGTGTTCAGTTATTTCTCATTAATGGATGTTGTCCCATGCACCTCCAAACACATGGGGCTTTTGCAAGCCCAAGTTTCCAGGAGTGTGCTATTAACAGATGCTAACTGAGCAGCCAAGTACTGTAGTTGCCCTATCCACAGGGTACAACTTTTGACTTAAAGTTGCCAAGAATGTAAATTGTTTTCCCAAGTCACTTCCCAGTTGATTTCCCAAGACTTTCAGCTTATGGTATTGGTGGATACGTAGCTGATGTCGAGACTGCAAGTTACGTTGTTGAATGGGAAAGTTCTTCCAAAAGGAGCTTTCTGAGAGTTCAGAGTGAATGAAGAGCTGTCACTGAACAGCTCATGTGCCTCATGTGCCTGTGATTGCAAAAGGTTAAGAGGTTTCAGACCAAGAGGGAAAGTAGCTGTCTTTAAAGTTCAAGCATTTTAAAAAACAGTTATTTAAGGAGCTCTGTTCCCGTCTGCACTGATGGGAAAGTAGGGAGTGCTGACAATCATTTCAGCTGTGAGGACGCAAGGTAACAACCCAGTTAAGATGGTGTGTACTGGGCTGGCTGCATGCTTGCTGAAAAGCACTGCAAACGATACCCGTGTTCTGTATTTTATGAAATGTAATTCTCTCTCGCTACTCGTAGTGGCAGCTCACGACGACGAGATTACTACGACAGAGGGTACGACAGAGGCTATGATGATCGCGACTACTACAGCAGGTCATACAGGTGGGGCAATATTTGTAGTATTCAACTGTGTTTTAAACTCTCTTGCACCTGCACCTTTACCTGTGCACATGTTAAGCACTTCATCCTACATATGCCAAGATGGCTTTGTACTCGCTGTCACTCTGGAATGCTGCTGTGAAATCCTTAGGAGAATGACTGCTCCGTACAAGTCCGATTGGTCAGGTTGAAAAGTAATTTGTCACGTTTAACCTGTGGCACGATAATGCTTTTTGTTAATCTGCATTGTTCTGAAAAACAAAGTATGTTCTCTATGCTCTCATTTTAAAAGAATCTGTTGTTGGCTCATCTGTTACTATTTAAAATGGTGGGCGTTTGGGTGCAGATGTAGTGTTTGAGTTGGTATCACAGCGCCAACTTGGGCTTTGAGCGTAGTATAGTGGACAAAAAGTGGGACGCTTTAATTGTCACCAGCAATAATTATGCCACCTCAAACGTCAAAAACTAGGTCTTGGGGATGAAAACATTACCTGTACGATAGTGGACGTTGGCATGAAAAGCCTTTTTCAACATACTCCGTCAGGTTGGGGGTGTGACCTGCACCTCCCTAGTCTCTGTATTCAGTCTGAACTGTTTGACAGCACAGTGGGCTTTGAAGGGGGTGAATATCGGGTGGCAGTATGCATTGTCAGAGGGTGAGTAAAGTTGACACAAAACCTGTTGAGAACCTGGTTGGCGTGGAATTTCGTCCTAGAGCAGGCTTGAGTTCTGCATTTCCCATGAAGAAGGCCAACAACATGCAAAATCCTCAGCAGTTTGTCTAGGACACTGTGAGGTTGGGCGCAGAGATGTTAATTTTTTTTTTTGTCTGATTAACAAATGTATCTGGCTGCAGAATCCTGTAGCACTTGTGGAGTTGTTTGCCTAGCTTAAATGCAGGACCAATGGGCAGATTTATGATTGTTCCCTAAAGGCAGCCGTGTACTCATGGGAATAGATGAATCCAGAGTGCTTTATTGCATTATAGCTCAAGGGCAAGGGAAGTTTGAAATTCTGTGACGTTGGCTTTCAGAGTGTTCTTCTGTTGCTTTCTAGGGGGTCAGGTAAATATGCTCACATTGATAGTTGTATGGTCATTGCCAGTGATGGAGGGCAGTTACCTCCTACTACTTCCAGCCACTTTTTCTTCTCCTGGGCTTTTGCCGTTCCTTCCCTCCCTGCCTTGCTACTGACGCTTAAATTGGATGCTTCGCTTCTACAACACTTCGGTGCTGCTGGGGACAGGGAGGGGATCAAGGTGCTCTACATCACGGGACACAAGTGTTCTGCTCACGTTTCTGGGTCATTGGGTACTTTTCTGCCTCTAGCAATCCCATTTTCTTGAAACATCAGTGGCTTGGGCATTTTGGAGAACTGTAGCAGCTAAAATCTGAAGTTGATACTGGGTGTACAAGAACCAAGACGTGTTGGTTTTCACCTTGCCAGCACTTCTATATGGGCTTTCATATGAGGTAGATGTGACCCAAAAGTAGCTCTTTGATCAAACCTCCAGTTTGTTTCGGAGCACAGGGTACAAAAACTTGCTCAGGACAGTTAACACAGCCTGTCTCATTATCCTAAAAATAGTGAACTGAAGTCTAGTGGGTAAACTAACTGAAGCAGCTTGCCAAAGTATTGGGAACAGAAAACATCTTGCATCTTCCAGCTTGCTTCTGCCCCTTTTTGGTATTTCTTGTATGCAGTTCTGATGTAAACCTATCAAAAAGCACCTAAGGACCAGCAAAAGATGTGGGGCCACGCAGTGTTTGGTGGGAGTTTTACACCATCGATCAGTCATCTTGCACTTCATAAAGGGTCAGGTTTACTGGTTGTCATTGAAATCTGTTGTTTGGGCTTGCATGTTCTAAAAATGGAATTTATTCCTTGTTTAGATTATGGCATGACCCTAATTCATCAGTGCTTAAGTGTTACCTTTGCATTCCTGAGGGTGACCAGTGGCCTGTAAAACGTTACCAGAAGTTGTAATTACATCCGTTCTGGGTGCGTGCTAGTGAGAATGGCTGCAGATGGTGATGGTGGCTGAAGATACAGAAGTCCGAGCGTAGTGTATCCGGGTTCATGGCTGTGGTCCAGCCAAGCTCTTTGGGGCTGTCACGTGCTGGGCAATGTTCTCGCCTTCCTACGCGCTCTGCCATCCTGTATCTGTTGTGAAATAAAGCTTTGGGGTGGAAATACGCAGAATATTGACAGTTCCAGTCAGGGTGATTTCTATTTCCTATCTCTAAAGCCAAAACCACAAAACCCCCCATGCCCCGGTGTGCTAAGGCTCACTGCAGAACCTTTGTAACGTCTTCTCTTAGCAGATACTGAAAGAGTGAAAGCAGGCCCCAAATTGTTTGTGTGCGGCCACTGAAAAAGTACCTTGGTTGGCTCAGGTCAGACACCTACTTTCTCGTCCTGCAGATACTGGCTGGTTGAGGGAGAAAGAGTAGTGTTGCATATGTGGTGAGCGCTTCCTCGAGGAAGGAAAGCTGGAATTGTTAACGATGCAGTAGAGCATTGCATACTCATGCTCCGCCCTAGGAAATCAGTTGGTACCAATTACTTTGCGTTTTTCCCTTCCTTGCCCTCTGTGCAGTGAAGCCTGAAGGGAAGTACAAGTTCAGATGGGAACTGCCATGTTAGAAACTCGGTTTCTCCTCATTGCTGTGGGATGTTTAATTTTGTTTGGAAAAGTATCTGTAAACTGAAGAATAACCTTTAAAAATCCACCCCAGCTTGCACGCTGGCTGGCTACCACGTGGAGGAGACCTGCTGTGGCTGAAAGCCTGGTGTCGTGTTTTGGGGCTTCTTTGTCCTTCCCGTGATTCATGGCCTTTTTGAGCTGCTGTGAGGCATCTGTGACAGTGACTGTTGTGTGATCCAGACTTGATTTAGTCTCCTGGTGATGCTTTGCTGTATCTTGATCTGTGGAGGCACCAACCCAACCACTTAATGCTGCGAAATACTCTGTGAGATGCTGTTTCCGTTCTCGGCAGTGTCTGTGTTGTCCCACGGTTCTTAGATGCCCTTGTTTGCATACAATTGTGAAGTGTTAAAATGTCAGGGGGTGGGGGGTTTTCCTGCCTCCACCTTGGAAGCAACTTTTTCATCAAGACACTGAATTGATCTTGCTATTTTTAAAAACCCAAACCATGACTGCTGGCTTGGAGTGGGCAGAAGTAGTCCTGGAAGGGAAGAGTATGTACTGATCTTCAACTGCTGCTGGCTGGAGAGTATGGCAGTGTGAAATAAGTGTTGTCAGCACGAGTCCTCCTTAACTGCTCCTGGACAGAGTCTAGCCAGCTTGTTCCAGGGATACACAAATGCAGGTCACCAAGTAATTTAGCGTAGGAACCAGTGTGTTCCTCTCTTTGCATTGTTTTCTCACACTCAATGACGCTTTTTTTTTTTTTCTTGTACAATGAAGTTCTTGTTGATTCTTAAGATTTTCAAAAGCCCTTCTGCTTTTGTATTCGCAGAGGAGGCGGCGGTGGTGGCGGCGGAGGATGGAGAGCTGTCCAGGACAGGGATCAGTTCTACAGGTATGCTGGCCGGCAGTGGGAATACGCGTGACGTTTCGAGCACTCTCTGCATGGAGTCTGGGGTCCCTTGAACATGTTAACAGGGGCTGGGAGGATGCTGAGCGCTTGTGGCGCTTCAGTGAGCTGTGCAGTTCACCTCAAGGGCGAACAAAGTGGGGAGGTTTGTCTAGGGACAGGTCAGTGCAGCTTTGCACAGGGAAAACTTGTCAGGCCAAGAAGGTAATGCCCTGGATGTTTGGGGATCCTTTTTTCAGTAAGGTTACTGGGACTAGGCAAGGAAATGGAAAACTTGGGAGTGCTGGGATCGGTGGGGTTGGCTGTGGTAGCTGTAACTGCTGCTCAAACCAACTCTTCACCTTGGGCCAAATAACTGAGATTCAAAGTTGAGGTGTGGTGTGGCTGACAGGGCTTGTTTGGGATGCTCCTGGCTTGGAGCGCTAACGTGGCAGGTAGTCACAGGGAATGCAGGAGAGCTTATACCGGAGTGTTCTGACCTGGTAATGGAGAGAGCACTAAGGACACGGAAATCTGTTACCCAGTAGAAACAGCAGTCAGCTGTTTACATGCTCATTGGCTTTCCCAAGTACGCTCCGGCTGCTGGGATTGGGCTAGTGGTATCCCTGTAAAGCTCCTGCTGCTCACCTGCCACAGGCTTTAACGACGGGATTGTCCCTTGTCCTTTTTCGCAGGAGGAGGTCACCATCCCCGTATTACAGCCGAGGGGGCTACAGATCCCGATCCAGATCTCGATCCTATTCGCCTCGTAAGTAGTTGTAGAGCTCCTGTATCAACCCCAAATTTCTGCTTTGCCTGAACTCCTTCTTTGAGGTTTTGTGTCCGTAAAGAGGGCTCACCATCAGTGCGGTTTTGCTGTTGGCTTCGTCTTTTTGAACCACGGCTCCCTTAGTGTTTCATTCAGCAACTGGCAACCTTGGGGACAGCAGATCCTTAGTTAGCAGAAAAATAAACCGGGTAATGCCGCCTGTGGAAGCCTGCGGTACCCTCCTTTCCCCGGAACTCTCGGAAAAGAGGAGTTTGTAGCATGCTGACAGGTTGGGTACCTCTGGGGCAGCCAGGCTGAATTCCCGACCCCCCCACCTTCTGACAGAACTCGATTTCCCAGCACAAGGAGGAAGTTGAGTACGTCCGAGGTCCAGACAGTGCGGCGTTTCCCAAAACGCCTGTTCGCAGGGAAGATAAAGCTGCAGTTTGACATTAGAAAGTCAATAAACCGCACTGGCGTTCCCAGCATGCTCCCTTTGCAATGGATATGTCCCGATGGGAAGAGGTGTAGCTGCTCTTGCAGATCCGTAGGGAAACGGGCCGCCACGGAACAGTTAGAGCGTGAACCCAAGCGTCAGCCCTGGGCACACGATGGGAATTGGGGGTTTCCCGCACGGAGGAACCTGCCGGCAGAGCTGTCTCTGACAAAGTTCTGCGGTCACCGGGGATCGTAAGGCTCTGGAGTTGGAGGCAGAGTTGGGGGGGGTGGCAGTGAATTTAGACAGAACTCCTAAAAATCCGTCAATCCTTGGAGGCCTAACTGTGTACTCTGTGTTTTCCTTCAGGTCGCTATTAAAGCGTGACGTGTAGAGGAGTTCCTAGCTACAGCCTTTGAGTTGAAACTGCAAGTCTGTGGACAATATTTTTATTGTCTCTTCTGTTTAAACAAGTGAACAGTGCCTAGTGAATAGGTGACTTTTACACCTTTTTTGAAGACTACTTGTGTGATGTTCAGCGCCGTTTCGTTCCGCGTATTTGTGTAGTTTGGTGCTTTGTTCCCAGTTGTGTTTCGGAAGGAGGATGTTTTGCATGTATTTTTTTAGTCTCCTGTTTTGACTCCTGAAAGGTTTCTATTGTAAAGACAAACTGTCCAGTTAAGTTTTTTCTACTGATTCCAAGGTATCCTGAAGATCAAAACCTGTGTACAACGCTTTCAAAAAAATGAAAAATAAAATAAAAAGAAGTTTGTTTTTTCTTTTCCTACTTACTTTTGCCGAGTTTAACTCTGGGTTAAAACGGAGGCGGCACCGCCTCGGCTTCGTGTTCTGGGCTAACATTTAAAGCCCAGAACAATTCACCCTCGTCTTGTGTTGCTGGCTGGCTGTTCTCGCTGCGCCACCCTCGGGTGTGTAAGCCCGGCCCGTGGGGAGGTCCGTGCACACACCTACGGCAGCGGGAGCAAGCAGCGTCGTTGGCAGCGCCGTCGACACGGAGCAAGGCGCAGGGTCAGCCGGATGCTGCTGGGCTTCGCGGTGGGCGAGCTGTTGGCTTATTGCCTCTGATACCTGGACCTTAAGGAGAGGGATTCGGTGGGCGCAGGCAGGTGACCATCAGGTTTCCCTGGTTTCCTCCCGGATGACTGTCCCTCTCCTAAAGAGCACATCCTGGGCACGATGTGAAAGTTCTTGTCAGACTGGACTGGTGTGAGAGCAGCGAGCTGGCAGGCTGCGTGTGCTGCCCACGCAGCTCTTCAACACCAGCTCCTCTGCCTTTTTTTTTTTTCCCTGTATAGCAATTTCCACGCTTTCCACAGACTAGGAGTGGTTCCAGGACCCCATGGACCTGCAGCCTTTTCACCGTTATTTGATGATGTTCCCTGTTGTGTTTGGGAATGGAACCGATGGCTCTGTGAGTTTCTGATCGGTGGCATCCATCGTTGTTACTGCGGTTTGCAGACCTGGCTCCACCTTTGTGTGGAAGTTCTCAGTCACTTGGCTCTTGCCTGGAATCATCATAGAATCATGGAATGGTTGGGGTTGGAAGGGCCCTTAAAGATCATCCAGTCCCACCCCCCCTGCCATGGGCAGGGACACCTTCCACTAGACCAGGTTGCTCCAAGCCTCCTCCAGCCTGGCCTTGGACACTTCCAGGGATGGGGCATCCACAGCTTCTCTGGGCAACCTGTGCCAGTGCCTCCCCACCCTCTCCAGGAAGAACTTCTTCCTGATATCCAATCTAAACCTAATGTCACTGTTCTTTCGGAGAGGGGTGGAAGGAAGGAGCAGGATGGCACGCGCTGCTCCACAGCGTGAGGATCTCTGGCTCTAGGAGCACTGCTTCACGCTTGTCCTGGGTTGGTTCCCATAACTGCTGCTGAGCTGAAGGTGTTCCCACAGCGACTGCCAGAGCTGTTCCGGAGGGTGAATGCCCCAGCAGCCATCCTTAAACACAGCTGTAGGAAAGGCAGGAGCTGCCAAAGCCAGCCCAGGTTGGGATTTCAGGGCTGAGCCCGTTTTACCACCAAGTTTGTATCCAGTGGGCCCTACTGTAATAGTCCAAAGTGCTTTTCAAGTCCATTTCTCATGCTTAAATGGGTGCTGAATCACTCACGTGGGTTTTGGGCTGTTAAATTACCAGATTTGGGCCAGCGCTGCCTCCTCTGCCCATCAGCCCGCAGCGAATCCGTGCGCTCGCTTCCAGGATCCAGTTGTGTTTCATCTCGCGCCCGAGGAGCTTCAGCACCTTTTCCACATCTGTTTGTAGCCGATGTTTGTGTGGGAATAGTGCTGTACTCACTTCTTCACGGGAAATGCAGTGCTCTCTGTGGCGGGAGGGAGGAAAACGCCCTTTCGTCTCTCGGAAGCAGGGGCTGAAGCTGTCTGGAAGGGACACCGGGATTTCAGCAGCGGTTGTTTTTGTTGGTACCCGCAGGAACATCCCACCCAGGGCTCAGTCGTGTCCCCTGGGGCGCTGCCGCTGCGCTGCGAGCATCCCAAATCCCCGCGCCGACCTCTCTCCGTCGCAGAGCGGGCAGCCTCTCCCTTCTGCCCGCATCGTCTTCAGTCGCGGTCTCGCGCTCCCTCTGAATCGCTCGGCAAGGGGTTGATCAACACGGAGTCGGGAATGCGTGTCCTTCGGAAAGAGTCTTGACGTTCAAATAATGCAGCGGGTTCCGCAACCCGTGGGGCTCCTGGCAGCGGGGCTGGCTTGTTGCGGCCGGAGGGCATCCTCCCGCTCCTTCCCCGCACGGGGGTATGCCTGGGGAGGCTGGGATCCGCTGCGGAGCCATCTAATGGTCCAACTGGGAGCAAGCTTTTCCTCCAGGAAGGGAGAGGGGGGGTGTCGCGGCGGAAGGCGGCGTGACGGGGTGTCCCTCAAAGCCACGTTGAAGCTGTATCTGGGGTCTGGGAAAGCATCGGCTGTGCTGCTGCCGTCGCCCGCGGTGGGGAGAGCCTTTGTCCGGGGCCTTCCTGCCGCTGAATCACTCCGACTGCTGCTCGGTCCCCAAAGAGCCCCCGGTCAGATGCTCCCCGGCGTGTGTCATGTTGCCCCGTTACGCGGGAGTGACGGATTGCTGTGGTATGCGATGCGCTTCGAAACCGCGTCTGACTCACTGCTCCACGTCCTGATGCTCCGCCAGCGCGTAACGCAGAAACTCATCGCAGGGGAGGGGCGGGGGGGGAACCGTACCCCGAGCTCCGGCAGAAATCCCACAGTGGTAGGGCCGCGGCGGCTGCGAAAGCAACGTTCCAGGGTGGATGCGAGACGCCGTGCCCTTTGCTGACCCGCTTTCCCCTCGAGAGCAGGACAGGCTTCAGGACACGTTAAAAGCACGTGAGGGCAGAGGAAACCGGGCGCTGTTCGTGCCCTTGCGCCGCGGGTCTCTCCCGGCCGTGCGCAGGCGGAATTTCCTCTGGGTCCATTTGTGCCTCTCCCGGTGCGATGCTCCGGTCCTCGCACAACCCCGCAGCGGCTCCCCTGGGCACAGGAGGGTGCCTGGGGGGGTGGCACGGTGCAGGGGAGCTGCTGAGCAGCGTGGGTTTGGGATATTCCGATCAACTCCTGAGGCGGCTCACAGGCACAAATTAACTTGAAACTGGGTCTTCAGAGCATCTGGGTCCAGCGCAGCGCGGAGCGCAGGGACTGGAGGTCGCTGGCTGGGACTCCCCCAGCACCTCTCACAGCAGCGCGGCAGCTTTCGGCTCTGCTGAGCCGCACGGGTTCCTAAACCCCCTGTTTGCTGTGGAAACTCCTTAAAATCTGAGTTAGTAATTAACCTGATGGTTCACGTCTCAGTTCCAGCAAGTCAACCGCAGGACAGGCAGGTACGGAGCTGCTTTTGGAGCCAAGAGAAGCTTCTCTTCCCTGGTTCAGTATGCTGGGTGTGGCTCCCCGGGATGTCCGTCTCCACAGCCTTCGCTCCATCACCTTGGCCCTAGGCATCCCTACCTTCCAGATCCCCTCGGAGGGTCAGCAAACCTTCAAGCCTGTTGGGGAGGAGGCAGTGGTACATCACCACCGACAGTCCCTGTCCATCACTGCCGTAATTAAATACTTGTTAGCAGGTGTTCACTCGTCTCCTAGCAAGCGGTGAGAAAAACCGTTCCCCCGTGCCTTGAAAAAAAGGGCAGAAGTATTTTTTGACCAAACTCTGCGTTATTCTCTCAACTCCTCTGTTGGCGATGGGTTATCTCATCCCTGCGCAGTGGACTGCCCCGGCGCTCAGCGCTTCAGCCCTTCAGCCCTTGTGTGATGCTCTTCCCTCGCCCCCGCTGCTCAGCTTTCGTGCTAGGAGGTTTCCAAAAGCCAAAGGGTATTTCCCAGGAGTTCACGGGTGCTATATTAGGGTCCAGTTTTGGGTTTGCTCCAGTCTCGCCGTGCCTCGTTCCTGGCACGTGGCGACGGAGGGCAGGCAGGGGCTGCTCCACCAGCACATGCTGATCCCTCTCGCAGTGTGGCACATGATGTCACCTCTGTCACCTGGTCAGAAGGGGAAAATAAGTTCTTCGGTAAAGGAAACACATTTAATTTGTAGGAAAGGGTTTATTTGGGGCTTTTTTTTTGTGGCACTGCGTCTCCCGCAAAGCCTTGTCCCCAGCTCAAGGTGTGTCCCTGCACAGTGACGAGTGGCTGCATCCCATCTTGCTGCCAAAACCCAGCTGGGACTGGCAGGGATGGGGCAAAGCTCGGCCGAGATTTCTCTTGCATGACACGAAATATCCTTTAGGATTCAGGGGAAACGGGACGGTCAGAGAGACGAGGCAGGTTCCTCCTGAGACAGAAAAGCCATACTCTGGATAGACGGCAGCCAGATGTGTTTTCCATCGATGCTTTCGCATCCCCTCCAGCTGCAGGGGATGCCTGTGCTTCTCTGATCCCTGGTGACAGTGCGGGATGGCTCATGGAGGATGATCCCCACGGCATCATCCCCGAGTCAGCCAAGCACACCACAACTTCTGGAGCCCATCTACGGGTGGTGTCACCCCATCCTTCCCGCTGCTTGGACCCACCATCCCGCACTGTCCCTTTCTCTGCCACGGTCCCAACACCCTCTGGGGACGAGTGCTCCAGCTGTGGGATCCAAGGAGTGATCACAACCCACTGACAGGAGCCCACCAGTGCCCTGAGTCCAGGTCCCAGTAAGACCAGTCCATCAGAAAAGAGTGATGAATCCTGTTGGCCCTCAACCTGCCTGCTGCGGGACAGCTCACCAAAGGCTCGGGATAAGCACGTGGGCCAGCGCCTTTATTCCGAGCCTGGAGGGGACTAGGGAATCACTCAGGCCAACCCCCAGCACCAGGGTGGATGTAGTAATCCTAGGTGTTTGTCCTACCTCCTCCCAAAAACTCCAGCCAAGGAATGGCACCACCTCCTTCTGGTCCTGTGGCTGATCCACCAGACACTCGTGGTTTTTTCCCTGATTTCTCCTCTTTTCAAGGCAGCCCTTCACACACGCAAGCCTGTATCTTGTTCTCCTCCAGACTAAACAAACCCTCTCAACCTTCCCTCACTGCTCTTTTTATCAGTGTCGCTGCCGCCTCCCAGACTTGTTCCACGTCAGCATCTCTTCAGAGAGGGACGATCTCGCTGCCTGTCCCATCTGCAGGGTGTCCTTAGGAAACAACCTGCCTTTCCGCCTGCCTCCTGCTCCACCTCTGGGACCATTTACCCTGAGCTTTCCCTGTGTGGTTACCACCTCCACAGCTATTTTGTACCGGTGCTCTTAAATCTTCCTCCCCAGAGCACAC